GAGCTAGTTGGAGGATGGGCAGGTCGGGTGGGTCCGGGCGGGGCTGGATTGAGTTATTACCTCTCTTGCCCTCCCCCAGCCACAAGTGGTCTTGGAACATACTAGAGTTACAAGAAGTGGAAGGTTGACCGAAAGGAGGCTCCACAATGCAGCTAGCTTTCACGAGGCTATTGTGCTGGGGTGACTCTTTGTGGTGATGCAGCTATTTCTCTTTCTTTTCCTTTTCTTTTTTTTTTTTGGTTTTATGAGACAGGGTTTCTCTGTATTGTTTTGGAGGCTGTCGGTCCATCCAGGCCTCGAACTCACAGAGATCCACCTGCCTCTGCCTCCAGCGTGCTGGGATTAAAGGTGTGCGCCACCACTGCCCGGCCTCCCAAGTGCTGGGATTAAAGCTAGCACCACCACTACCTGGGGCAATTTTTGGTTTTTAAAGGCTGTCATTTAACATTTTAAAGTTTAAAATCCTCCAGTAATCTCTGTGCTCTAAGATCTGATTGTACTTAGTTTCATTCCTTCACAGACTATAAGGAAAGATGTTTATTTTTATTTTATGAGTATAGGTAGACACCTGCATGTATATCTGTATGCTACTTGTGTACCTGGTGCCCACAGAGGCCAGAAGAGCGTATGGGTTCCCCTGGAACTGGAGTCTCATATGGTTATGATCCACCATGTGGGTGCTTGGATTGAATTCAGGTCTTCTAGAAGAGCAGTCAGTGCTCCAAACCACTGAGCCATTGCTCTGGCTCCCCTCATGAATTTTGTCACCACTGAGCCATTACTCGGGCTCCCCTCATGAATTTTGAATTGATGTCACATATGTAAGCACTAAAGCAGACTTGTTCACAGGAATAAACGTTCTAAAATGGGACCTAGTTCATATCCTTTATAAAAGATGGTGTTGTCCCTCAAAGGAGAAGGAGACCTGGGCATAAGGAATGTCTCTCCTTTTGCCTTTTAATTGTAAAATAAGATCTAGCTGTAGTGAGGTGTTAGAATTTGAGTTACCATTCAAGGGTCATGCTTTTCCACCACAGCTCATAACGGGGCCACACTATGTTTAAAATAATAATAATAATAATAATAACAATAATAATAATAATTGAGCCAGGCAGTGGTGGCACACACCTTTAATCCCAGCACTCAAGAGGCAAAGGCAGAAAGATCTCTGTGAGTTTGCGGCCAGCCTGGTCAACAGAACAAGTTCTAGGACAACCAAGACTACACAGAAAAACTCTGTCTCAAAAAACAAACAAACAAATAAAGACACCATTTAAATGAAAACATAATTTGTGTGAAATTGTAAAGTCAGGGAGAGTTTCCTGAAGGACTGAGGCATGTAGGTATTGCCCTTTCTGAGGCCCTCTGTCACTGTCTCTGAGCCTAACCACTACTCTCTCAGAAAAACATGAGCTGATACTGCTGAGCCATCAGAGTGGGCACAGTCTTCTTGGAGCCCTGACCTGGACAACAGTGAATTGTGGCTATGAAACAGGGGAATATAACAAGCAACAAAACAAAGTAATATGAATAACCAGAGTCCATAAACTGTTCATCTTATATTATGTTGTAATTTTGAAAGAGTTTCAGACTTACAGTTTCCAAGTAACACAAGTGCCTCTTTTACAACTGCAATACATCAGTCAGAACATAACAGTAACATGATAGAGCCATTAACTGTCCAAAAGCTTAGTTCAGATCTCACCTTTGTCCCACGAGTGTCCTTTTCTGTGTGTTTCAGGACCCAGCCTAGGATGGCACCTTACATTCAGTTGTTATACCACACAGTCTCCTTTAGTCTGGAATAGTTCTCTGATCTTTCCCTAACTTTCATGACTTTGATGTTATTTTTTCCCCTTTCTTTTTTGAGACAAGGTCTTGCTATGTAGCCAGGTTGACTTCAAACTTCAGATGTTCTTACCTGGACCTCAACCTCCTAAGTGCTGGGGTCATAGGTTGCATCACATGACCTTAACATTTTTTTTCACATAGGAAGTTTTAATGGGGGAAGGGAAGGAGGTAGGGAAAGTGAAGGGAGAGGAGAGAGAGAGAGACAGAGACAGAGACAGAGAGAGAGGAGAGACAAAGACCTGCCTGCCTCCTCAGAGTAATGACAGAAAGAGAACGACCTTAACATTTTTGAAGTTATTCTGTAGACCAGTGCTATCCAGTAGAATTTTCTAAGATAGAAATGTTCTGTATCTCAATACACAGATGAATTTCACATTTGAAATATGGCCAATGGGGCTCAGAATGCCAGAGGCATGACATTGTCCCTTTTCTAGATTTTTAAGAGCTGTTGACAGGTGATTGGGAACCAGGTAGGCCAGGAAGCTAGATTATTTCAATGCCCTTCGAAGCCCAGCAAGGACAGGGCTAACTATAACCACATTTAGAAGCCAGGCCTGATGCTCTTTTTGCAAGCATTAAATAAGAGGTCATGAGCCGGGCATTGGTGGCGCACGCCTTTAATCCCAGCACTCGGGAGGCAGAGGCAGGCGGATCTCTGTGAGTTCGAGGCCAGCCTGGTCTACAAAGTGAGTTCCAGGACAGCTTCCAAAGCCACAGAGAAACCCTGTCTCAAAAAACCAAAAATAAATAAATAAATAAATAAATAAATAAATAAATAAGAGGTCATGGGCCGGGCGTTGGTGGTGCATGCCTTTAATCCCAGCACTTGGGAGGCAGAGGCAGGTGGATCTCTGTGAGTTTGAGGCCAGCCTGGTCTACAAGAGCTAGTTCCAGGACAGCCTCCAAAACAATACAGAGAAACCCTGTCTCGAAAAACCAAAAAAAAAAAAAAAAAAAAAAAGAGGTCATGGTGGTTTGCAGCAAGACTAAATCACCAATACTTACTTTTTTTTTTTTAATTGCTTTTGACATTTTCAAGCTTGTTTTGCAGTCAGGGGGACTGATAATTGTGGAGATCAGAGGGCAACTTTGGGAAGTTCGTTCACCATGCTTGTCCCAGTAGCAAATTTATGTGTGATTTGTACACCCTGAAAGCTGTGAACTGTCTGCACAACTACCAAGAACAGTGTGGTGACTTGAATGAAAATGGTCCCCATAGGCTCACTGGGAGTGGCACTATTAGGAGGTGTGGCCCTGTTGGATAAAGTCTGTCACCAGGGATGGGCTTTGGATTTCAGAAGCTCAACCTAGGCCAAGTGGCTCACTCTCCCTTCCTGCTGCCTGAAGATCCAGATGTAGAAAGAACTCTCAGCCTCTCTCCAGCACCACGTCTGCCTGCACTCTGCCGGGCTTCCCTCCATGATGAACTAAACCCCCGAACTGTAAGTCAGCCCTCAGTTAAATTGCCGTGGTCATAGGGTCTATTCACAGCAACAGGATCCCTAACTAAGACCAATAGTAATACAATCTCAAAGAGTTCTGTAACTAATTCTGTTTGGCACCAGTTCTAACCTCAGTGATCTCCAAGGAATTCCTTAGGCTTCTCTTCAGAAAACTGTGCTAGATAGGAAACTGTAACATTAAGTATGCCATTGATGCATTTTAAAAAATATTTCATGTTTTACATTTATGGGGGGAGGTAGATGCCAATGCTTTTGGGAATTGACCCTCAAGCTTGGCAGCAAGTGCTAAGCGATCTCACCAGTCCTCGCTGATACATTTTTATGTATGTACTCACCACCTACAGTCGACTCTAGGACATTTCTACTCTCTAGGCATGCCGAGGTAACTAATATGATTTCCTTTTAAGTACATTAGTTTTTACTTCCTGTTGAAACATTTGACTGGATGCAGAAAGCATTTTGTCTCTGTTAGCCGAGCACCATTTAGCAATGCTACCTATTCCACTATGGCGAGATCTTATTTCTATTGTGGGACCTTTTACTGCTGTATACTAGTCAGTCTGCCTATTCATTTTACTGATGGACATCTGAATTGGTTTCATAATTAAGAATAAAACCACTAGAACTTTTCTAGTGGATGTAGTTTAAAAAGCGATTTTAGCCGGGTGTTGGTGGCGCATGCCTTTAATCCCAGCACTCGGGAGGCAGAGGCAGGTGGATCTCTGTGAGTTCGAGGCTAGCCTGGTCTACAGATCGAGTTCCAGGACAGCCTCCAAAACAATACAGAGAAACCCTGTCTTGAAAAACAAAACAAAAAAGCAAAAAAGCAAAAACAAAAAAACAAAAAACGAGAGGGAAAGGGAGAGGGAGAGGGAGAGGGAGGAAGAGAGAGGGGAAGAGATTATAATCTTAGTTTCAAGGAGAGGGAGAGGGGGAGAGATTATAATCTTAGTTTCAATTGCCTTGGTGTGAGTACAGGGGCCAGTGGAGATCAGAGATGTCGGTCATCCTGGTGCCGGAGTTACAAGCGATTGTTAACCGCCCGTCATGGGTGCATACCTCCGAGTTTCGTTACATCATATTCCCACTGTCCTTACTCGTGTGGCCTGTCTAGGCATTCACATCCCTGTGACATTTGCGTGACACCCCCACCTTTATGGAACACTGCTTGCCAGACACTGGAGACCCTCTCTCCTCCAGCAGTTGGCAAGAAGAGCTGCTTTGCTTGAGTTGCGTGGGACCGAGTCCAAGAACGCCAGTTTTCAGGGCTTCTGGACTTCCTCTGGAAACTGCTTTAGTCCAAGCAGAGAGAAAATAATCTGCTCCTTCACGCCTCTGCAGGGAACTAGAACGGCCCCCAAGAAAGGCCTACGGAGTACTAGCAGCTAGACCAGAGGCTCAGGAAACTGGGGGGGGGGGCATCCAATGGCCCCATGACCAGCCTGGCCCTCCTCCGCCCCAAGGCCTCCGAGCTCAGCCAACAGCCATGCTTCCGACCCATCCGGTCCAGGCCCTGCCCAGTCAATGACCGAGATTCCGGTTCCGCCCCTCCCTCATTCCTACTCCCTGGCCAATGGTCGCGCTGCTCGCCCCGCCCGCCCCGCCCTCTTCATCTGGGAGGGTTCTGCACGGTCGCAGGCAGGTCAACCTGTTGCCCAGTCCGGTTTCCTCTTGGTAAGTTCGCAGACTGGGAGTGGGTTCTCAGGGCTCAGTGCTCACCAGCGCCCTTCAGGGAGGGGGCCTTGCACGGAGCCCAGTGCGGCTCGCAGTCTGCAGGATCGCCCCTGAGCCAGGGCACGCGGGGTCGGGGAGGCTCCTGACCTGATTATGGGAGAGTGCGGCCGGCCCCACACGGATTCGGGACCCTGGGAGTTCCTCGAGTTGCATTCAACACCCTTAGCGAGCCGGTAGGTGGTGCAGAGCGTTTGCCCGGGCTGGATAGGAAGAACCGCGGAGTGCCTCCTGCCTCTCCCTGGCCCCGGTGACTCCCGCGAGGCCTGACCGCGCGCAACGACCCGTGGCAGTCGCTCCAGGGAGTAGGTCTGCCAGTCCGGACTGACGCCCGCCCGATCCCGGGTCTGACAGCTGTGGGTAGCGACACCTGTTCAAAACAGCCCCCCTGCACTTGGAGACCTGGGTCCCGCCAGTTATCTAGTTTGAGGCCAGGAGACCTGTCCCTCGGGAGTGTGGATATTTCTTTCCCTGACCCGGTCAGAAGCTTTGCTGTGCCCAAGACACCTCTGCCATCTATCTCCTTTTCTCTGAGATGGGAAAGAAGTTTGAGGAAAAGGATAACAACAAAGGAAAAGAAAAAAAAAGCGCTTTGGATACTGTGAAGCTTCAAAAACTTGAAGGGCATTTGGCCTTGATCTCAGAACTCAGGCGAGTGTCGGTGAGAGCGGTTTTAACGCCAGCTGTGTCTGAGAGGTTTTTATGTTTCAAAGAGCATAAATGCTGCGTCTTCTCACCCTGTAGTCACACCCCCAGGCAGGGAGCGACCTTGGCTTAAAGATAGACTTTGTGGCTCTCCTGTTGCAGGGGCCTCCAATGCTCTGTTAGCCCACGGCAAAAAAAAAAAAAAAAAAAAAAAAAAGCCTGGGTTCAAATCCCACAGTGTCAGTGCTGTAGCATAGTGTCACTTCTTGCTTGTGATTGTGTCAAAGGACTAACTGAAAGAACCTTCAAGGAATGAACAATGTGAACTTTATCTGCTTTTGGTGGGGTTATGTGCCCGCATCTGTGCATTCACTTTTGTGGCTTGACTGCTAAAAATCGCTGATTAGACTCCCTCATCCTATCTTTCTAGGTGATCTGGGCAAGGAGGGGGCAGGTTTCATCAGCCTGTCCACCACAGAGCTATTCTTTTTCATCACCTGATGGCCCAACAGACCCTAATCTCACCTCCGTCATCTCCTGACCTTGCATCCATAGGTCTCCATAGGATGTAGCATTTGGTAGTTAGCAGGGGATGTAGCATTTGGTAGTTAGCGGGGGATAACACGGGGCTGAGGTCACTAGGCAGAGGATGTAGCATTTGGTAGTTAGCGGGGGATAACACGGGGCTGAGGTCACTGGGCAGAGGTACTTCATCTTCCATGTATCAGTTACACTGTCTCCCAGGGGCCTCCTGTTTCAAACAAGAGCACTTGGTTCCCTCTTCTCCCCCTTCCTTCTTCTCTTTTGAACAGTACTCTTGGAATCCAACAACTTAAACTTGTCAAAATGGAGCTCTGAAGTGCTGTCTTTCTATGACTTCTCCCTGACTTGCCCCAGCTCCCAAGAAACAATGTTTGATTCTTGCCCCACCTCCCGTGTGCACAAAGCCCATCCCTACCTCCGTGGTTGCCATCATGGCCACACCCAGCATCATTCCCCCCTTGGTCTCTTGACTGTCACCCCCCTTCTATCCTGGGCTTCTCAAAGGCCTTAGAATCTCCGGAGAACCCTGGAGTGCAAGTCAGAACTTCTGCTTTCCATTGATCCCCCTGTTTCACACCAGATAAAACCCAAAAAGTCCTTCCCACAACACCTTGCATGCTAACCTTTGACCTTGGCCTCCGCCCCTCTAAGCTTTCCAGACCACTCCACTCACCTAGTTTCTCTTCAGGTACTCCAAGCTCTTAGAACTTGGGCCGTTTGAAGAGACACACACATCTTAGGACTTTTGCATCTGGTTTGCCTTCTGCCCAGGTATTTCCTGCTGGAGTTGTGTCCCATTGTCTCATTTTACTTTCTTCATTATCAGAATTACCTTCTGGACTTGCCATCTTGCTAACAGATCTGTGACCAGCTGCACTCCAATAGTCTGTAAATTGGATGTGGAGGACACGGTGACCTTGTCTTTCTTAGCCCTGATGGGGAGGGCAAGTAAGAGACAAGTAAACAAACACGTGTAGTTGCAGATTGTGGTGCTGCATAAGGAATGCTCGTTTGCATTTAAGGCACTTTAAATGCTTAAACTTAGGGTTGGTGAAATGGCTCAGCAGGTAAAAGTGTTTGCTGTGTAAGCCTGATGGCCTGATATCAAGCCCTGGGATCCAAAATGGAAAGAGAGTCAACTTACAAAAGCTGTCCTCTTATTTTTCATATGTGTGCTTGTGACATGTTTGCACACATTCACACACCCATCATACACATACGATAATAAATGGATGAGCATTTAAAAGTGGCCCATGTTAAAAAAAATTAAGCTTAAGGGAGCTGGAGAGAAGGCTCCATGGCTAAGAACACTGGCTGCTTTTCCAGAGGATCCGGGTTTGAGTCCCAGTACCCACATGGCATCTCACAACCATTTATAACTCAGTTCCAGGGGATTGGATGACATTTGGTGGCCTCTGTAGGCACTTGTTGCACAGACATACATGTAGGCAAAATGCTCATGCACATAAAATATAGATAAATCTTGGGGCTGGGGAGGCGGCTCAGTGGTAAGAGTACTGACTATTTTTCCAAAGGACCTGGGTTTGATTCCCAGCATCCACATGGCCATTCACAACTGTCTGTAACTTCAGTTCCAGAGGATACGATGCCATCTCCTGGCCTCCATGGGCACCAAGCTCAAAAGTGGTGTGAAAATATACAGACAGGCAAAACACCCATACACATAAACAATTTTAAAAATAAATATTTTGAAAAATTTAGCTGGGCAGTGGTGGCACACACCTTTATTCCTAGCATTCAGGAGACAGAAGCAGGTGGATCTCTGTGAGTTCAAGCCCAGCCTGGTCTACAGAGTGAATTCCAGAACAGCTAAGGCTGTTACACAGAGAAACCCTGTCTCAGAAAAACGTGGTGTGTGTGTGTATTTAAATTTAAGCTTACATGCCTGAACTGCTGTGTTACACAAGCTCTCTGAACCATTTTTAAAAAAGATTTTTAAAAATGTATGTGTATGTCTGTCTGAGTGTATCAAGTGTGTGCAGGTTAGAAGAGAGAGTGAGGTTTGCCTGGAATTATGGGCAGTTTTGAGCCACCAGATAATGGGTGCTCTGGAAAAGCAACGAGTGTTCTTTTCCACTAGCTCATCTAAATCAGTGGTTCTCCTAATGACCCATTCACAGGGGTCACCTAAGGCCTTCTGAAAACATAGGTATTTACATTATGATTCATAAAAGTAGTAAAATTGAAGTTATGAAGTAGCAACAAAAATAATTTTACAATTGGGGGTCACCACAACATGAGTAGCTGTATTAAAGGGTTGCATAGACAGGAAGGTTGAGAACCACTGCTCTAAACCACCTCTTTATTAGTGTTCTCAAGTAAGTGCGTTTTTCCATTAACCACTAAACCATCTCTCCAGCCTCTCTCTGAACCATTTTATGGAAAGGGCTGGTAATTTGCCCTGAGTGACTTCAGTGTAGTGAACTCAGTTTTCTCCCATGAGAACATATGCCTGTATATTTGGTAAATTAGTGGACTTGCATCATGATCCAGAAACAGTCTGATCTGAGATGCCTCAGTTGTTTGGTCTGAGTAGCTGGCAAGCCCTCCAGTTTCTTGGTGCTGTGTTTTCTCCAACTTTACAGTCGCATTATCCTATCATCATCATTTTTGGCATCTCCCTTTGTTTGTTTGCTTTCAGTATACCCAGAAGAGGCAGTATTTATAGGTGACTCTTGTATTATCCCTCTTTAGAGATAGGATGGGGTCTAGTGTCTTTCACAGTCTTAGCAGCTAATGGCACAAGCAATACAAACCTTAGAAAATGATTAAACCCAAACGGCGGAAGTGGGCCCCAGATTGGTAGCTCTTTGTTCATCAGTTCACTTTCAGGGAAAAATTTTTGCGAGCCTCTGAATCCAGGCAGTAACAACAGTGAAAGATTGGGGGCTGGGGAGATGGCTCAGAGGTTAAGAGCACTGACTGCTCTTCCAGAGGACGTGAGTTCAATTCCCAGCAACCACATGGTGGCTCACAACCATCTACAATTCAATCTGGTGCCCTCTTCTGGCATGTAGGCAGAACACTGTATATGTAATAAATAAATAAATCTCTAAATTAAAAAAAGACAGTATTAAAAAAAAGTGAAAGATTAGGACTGGAGAGTGCTCTGCTGTTTGGAGAACCAGAGTTCAGATCCCAGCACCCACATCTGGTAGCTTACAACTTCCTGTTACTCCAGCTCCAGGGGTTCCAGTGCCCTCTTCTGGCCTCCCCAGGCACCTTCCGTCACACACATATCCACACTCATACCCACACACATATACATGATTTTTAAAATTAATAAAAGAAATCGTTAAAAAAGAAAGAAGTAGCCGGGCGGTGGTGGCACACGCCTTTAGTCCCAGCACTCGGGAGGCAGAGGCAGGTGGATCTCTGTGAGTTTGAGGCCGGGCTGGACCGATAGCCTCCGAAACAATACAGAGAAACCCTGTCTCGTAAAAACCAAGAAAAAAAAAGAAAAAAAAAAAAAGAAAGAAAAAAGAAAGAAGTAAAAGCTAGAGGAAAAAACAAAGATTCTAAGAGCTGAGAAAGAATTGCCTTCCTCCACCCCCACTGCCAAGTTGTTGCCCTGTGTGATCTTTCTTCTAGTCCATGTCTCCGTCCATCCCATCCTTTCCAGGGCCGGAGTCCACTCCAGAAGCTGAGCAGCCATGACATTCGCTGAGGACAAGACCTATAAGTATATCCGCGACAACCACAGCAAGTTTTGCTGTCTTGACGTTTTGGAGATCCTGCCTTACCTGCCCTGCCTCACAGCCAGTGACCAGGTGAGTCAGGGAAGCCCCAGCTGGCCAGTGCACCGGGCACAGGGCTGTGCCCTCCAAGTTCAGCCTGTCCCAGCCCTTCTCCCAGGCCATGGCTTCTGAGGCTGCTGCCTGCCCTGCTTTTCTGACTTTTAGATTAAGCTATTCCCAGTGGCTTTTCTAACCTGCTTGAATCCTTTCGTTTTTATGTTGCACTCAAGAACATGGTACCAGGTGGGCAGGTTTCTAGGCTTCTGATTCAGAGCCTTCTCTTTGCTTGTCTTTGGATCTTGGTCCTAGTTGGTTTTGATTCATTCTCTCATAGGACCTTATCTTGGACTAAAGTCTGGAGTGTCAGCTCTGAGGACTCCACCAGTGTCTTGCCTCATCAGGACTTGCTGCGGGCTCCTGCACTCAGCAGCCATGAAGTGGTTTATAGTTTGGCTCTTCTCAGGTGGCATGGGCTCCTGTGCTCCCAGCAGCTGCCTGTGCTGTTGGGGCCTCCTGTTGTAGGTGTCTCAGGAGTACCATTGTTTGCTGTGCAGTCTCCCTGCAGATACTGTTACAGCGTAGGTCTGGGCAGTTAGGAGAGTGTGCTGGCCTCACCTTGTGTTGGGCGTCTATCAGGACACCCTGTGTAGTAGATATTTCCTGTGCATTGAAACTTGTTTTTCTTTCCTTCTCCTCCTCTTCCTCCTAATCCTCTACCAAGTTTTCCTTTTCCTTTTCTTCCTCCTCTCCCTTCCTTCTTTTCTCCTTCCTTTCTCTTTCTTCTTCAGACAAGGTCTTACCATATAGCCTAGTCTGGTTTCAAACCTGTAAGCCTCCTGTCTCAGCCTCCCTTGTGTTGGGACTACAAGCTGGTTGATAGTTTTCAAGTGAATCCAGTGAATAAAAAGTGCTACAGCTGCTGGTGTATGTCTAGAATTTCCCCAGTATTCTTACTTGTCTTGCTTCCCGTTCTTGGCCCCGCCCTTTTCTTCTCTGCCCCTTTTATCCCATTGTTGTTGGGCCCCTTTTCCTTCCCAACTCGTTCCCTCTTCTCTTTGCTTTAGTGGCTGCCTGATTCAAGCTTTGCATCCTTCGTGCTTTGCTTCTGCTAAGCCTCTGCCTCCTTAGCAGTAAAGTGGAGATGATCATAGCATCTGATGGGGCAGTGCCTGTGAACCTAGACACGGCCAGAGCCTTTCCTGGCAGCATCCTTTGTTGTTGCTCCTCCTCACTCCATACCCGGGCTACCACCCTGGCCTTGTCCTCCCTCTCACCCAGTTTCAGGTAACTGCCTTCCTCTTACGGCTTTCTTGGTGTCCCTTTGTAGTAGCTCTCGTCTAAGGGGAGAAAAGGCTAGGCAACCTGGCCTGAGTAGGGTGACTGTCCTGTCTTCCAGGATCGACTACGGGCTTCCTACACACAACTAGGGAACCGAGACACACTCTGGGAACTCTTCAATAAGCTCCAGAGACGGGTTGGCTGGGTAGAGTTCTTCATCCGGGCACTGAGGATCTGTGAGCTGCCTGGGCTGGCTGACCAAGTGACTCGAGTGTATCAGAGCTACCTGCCTCCTGGTGAGCATCCTGCCCTAGCCTTCTTCCGGGTCCCTGCCTGTTCCTCATGCTTGCAGCCTTCCTCTTCCTTCACCTTTTACCTCCTGCCTTTCTAGTTTCACCACTCTCCATTATAGGGTATACCCAGGCTTAACCCGCCTGAGCCACTCACTAACTATGTCCCTTTGGCAATATCCTTTAATCTCGTAGTCTGTCACAGTGCGGCTGATGGCCACATCCCTCGGGTGGCTGCAGTGGATAGACACCACAGGGTGATGCCTGTTGAGTGCTTAGCTGGAGTTCCACGCCTCCCCTCTGCCCAGCACAAGGCACCTGCTGTCAGTTTTGTAGTTCATGTGTCTGCCTCCCTACTTGGTCCTCATTTTCTCTCCTGTCCCCTTTCTCTACAACATAGAGTGTAGAGTCTATACCCAATCACTCACCCCACTCTTCATTTCTCTTTCCCTCCCGAGGTTTCTCTAAGAACATCCTGGTTTCTAAGCCCAACCAGCTGCCTAGTTGCTCCTTAATTCCTCTTAATGTCTGCCAAGTCATGTGATGGGGTGGGGGATGGGGGGCGGGGCGTTGGTAATTGGGCCTGAGAGAAGAACCAGGAAGAAAAATCAAGCCAATCTCGAACACACCATGCTTTCTTTTCTTTCTCTGTTCCTCTCTTCTTTCCAAGTTGGCCTCTTCATTTGTGGGAGTCAGCAGTGCTCTCTCAAGCAGAAATGATTACTGTGGTAGGGTGGGAGATGGGGATGACAGCTGTGAGAGAACGGAGGGGAGTGACCACTGACAGTGTCACTGGGCTCTTGCCCCTCCACCGCCCTCGTCACCTTTCCTGTCTTCTCCAGCTCCTATCCCTCCTGCCCCCTCCCCAGTGATGCTTATCACCTCTAATGAATTCATACCATATCAGGTCAGTAAGTTACTGAAGGGAGGCATCTCAAAGCTTCCAGGCCTCTTTTGCTACCAGGATACTTCTGATTTTTCTGGGCATCACTACATCTTTGTCCTTTAGGGACTCCGCTCCGCTCCCTAGCCCCACTGGAGTTACCAGTAGTTACTGCCACAACTTCTGTACCGTCTGCTACTCCAAGCCACAGCATCCCTGACAATGGCTACCAAGAGAGACCAGGCTACCCCAGACCTGTCCAGGATACCCAGCCACCAGAGTCCCCAGGAGAGGTAGGTTCCCAGTCTACTTCAAGGCATCTGCTTTTGTGTGCCTGCCTGTTTCTGCCCATCCCATCTTCTAGAAGCCCCTTCCTACCTCCTGAAAACCGTGCCTTATCTCTGCTAAGAATACTGGGTTTCCCTCACTAGCTACCTGACTGCTGGCCAGGTCACCTCAGTAGTGTGTCATCTGCTAACTAGGAGGCCATGGTGTTGAGGTCTTTGCAATGGTCAGGTGACATGTTGAGCTGAGTAAAGGACTGGGGGGGGGTAACCAAATTTGAAAGTGGGGGAGGTGATATGAAAGCTCAGAAGTCATGGGTGGATGGTAATAGGTTCTTAGTTATCAGTAGTGAAGTCAGGGGTGGGGGAAAGATAACTAGTTCTACTGAGGAAGTGAGTCAGCCATGGGCAGTAGAAGAGACCCCAGACTGGGTCTGAAGTCATAGGGTCTGCACAGAAACTGCTGAAGGAAGGGCTATATGCAGAGCCAGACACAGACACATGGATAGGGAACTTGGGCAGTACATAGTTTTTTTGTTTTGTTTTAAGGCACTTGAGGTCATCCTAGGAGTCAGAGATATAGTTCTCGGTTAGTGGCGTTCTTGTTTAGCATACACACAACCCTGAATTCAGATTCCAACACCATATAAGCTGGGCATGATGGCTCATACCTAATGAGAATACTACTCAGGAAGTAGAGGGAGGCAGATCAGAAGTTACATAGTAAGTTCAAGGCTAGAGTGAGATACATAAGACCGTATCTCAAAACAAGGCAAAAATAGTAACAGCAACAACAAAACCAAATAGATACCAGGAACTTATATTAGGCAAGTGTATTATTGGTGAGCTACCCCCTGGTATGTGAAGATAACCTATGGCCAGAAGCAAGGCAAGGGTTCCCGGATGCTGGGAACAGGGACTGGGTCTTACAGATGCCCCATAAATGTCTGATCCTCTTTGTCAGCTCTTGGGAGATGCAGCTGCTTTATTACCATTTCTTCTATTGCAGAGTTTAGAGCAAGTCCCACAGGCCAGCCTCGGGGCCATCCCGAGGATGTCTGGAGGCTCTTTGATGCCCTCGTCCAACCTGCCAGCTGTCAGCCCTCAGCCTTCCGCAGAGTATCATGGTGAAGAGCCAGAAGCGGGTGACACCTCCACAGCAAGTATGCACAGATGTGGTGTTACAGGGTCTCTCAGACCTCCCAAGTGAAGGTTGGGGTACAGTTACCACTGGCCAGATGTGGTATTACAGGGTCTCTCAGACCTCCCAAGTGAAGGTTGGGGTACAGTTACCACTGGCTTTCCTTGGACAGGATTCAGGATAGGAATAAAGGGTATTCACTTAAGATAGGGGTATTCACTTAAGAGAGTGTGCGTGCGTGCATGCGTGTGTGCGTGCGTGCATGTGTGTGTGTGTGTGTGTGTGTGTGTGTAGAGTAGTAGCAGCTTAAATTGCAGTCATTTATTAGCACATGGCTCAGTTGAGAAGGTCTTCTGGTCTTGTTGACACTCTCTCAGATATTCCCTGTGCTTCTAGTATCCATTGGCTGGTGCCTCTTCGTTCTCTCATCCTCTAGCACACAAACCCAATTCATGGCATCTGGGCATGGCTCTGGGTAAAAGAAAGTCAGGGCTGTGAGGCATGGACTCAAAACTGGCCTTATTACTCCTGCTGTTTTCTGTGGTCAAAACAAGTTATAAGGCCCGTCCAGATTCCGAGGATGGAGAAACTGGCAAAATTACATTGGAGGGTGTGATTGCCGTGTAGGTTTGTGTATATTTCTGTACATTGCTGCATGTGAGAGAGAGTTAGGGCTATTTCTGCACTCAGATAAAAGGACCTGGTAGGGATTGTCCAGGGCCTGAATGAGGGATAGCACAGGACTAGCTGACAAGGGAGCTCTTTTTCTTTTTTTAATAAATTTTTGTTTAAATTTAAAACTACCTTTTTTTTTTTTTTTTTTTTCCACGAGACAGGGTTTCTCTGTTTTGGAGGCTGTCGTCCAGCCTGGCCTCCAACTCACAGAGATCTGCCTGCCTCTGCCTCCCGAGTGCTGGGATTAAAGGCGTGCGCCACCAACGCCTAGCTAAAAAACTACCTTATTTTACATACCAATCCCAGTTCCCTCTCCCTCCCACCCTCCCATGCCCCCCACTGACTCCCTATCCCACCCTCCATCCACTCCCCAGGAGGGTGAGGCCTCCCATGAGGGATCATCAAAGTCTGACACATCATTGGGGTAGAACCTAGGCCCTCCCTTATGTATCTAGGCTGAGAGAACATTCCTCCATAGGGAATGGGCTCCCAAAGTCCACTCGTGCACTAGGATAAATACTTGTTTCACTGCCAGAGGCCCCATAGACTGCCCAGGCCTCCCCACTGACACCCACGTTCATGAGGCTTGGTTCAGTCCTATGCTGGTTCCCCAGCTGTCAGACTGGGGTCTGTGAGCTCCCACTTGATAAAAGAGCTCTTAAACACCGTTCTGCACAAGGAGGTCTTTACGTCCCAGCTGTGGTGGTTTGAATAGGAATGGCTCCTGGAGGCCCCTGCATCTCAATACTTACTCCCCCCTAATTGGTGGAACTATGTAGAAGGTATGGTCTTGTTGGAAGAGGTGTGTCAAAGAGGTGGGCTTGGAGGTTTCAAAAGCCCATGCCATAGCGGTCTCCGTCTCCGTCTCCGTGTCTGTCTGTCTGTCTGTCTGTCTTATGCTTGTGGATCAGATGTCTAAGCTCTCAGTTACTGCTCTATTGCCATGCCTGCCTGCCTGCTGCCATGTTCCCCACCATGATCCTCATGGACCCCCTGGAACTGTGAGCCCAAAATTAAGTGATTTCTTTTATAAGTTGTCTTGGTCACGGTGTTGTCACAGTGATAGAAAAGTAACCAAGATACCAGGAGACTCCAGATGAGTCAGTCAGGGGTCAGAAGAACCTGGTGCTCCCCGTCAGGACTGTATCCTATCCACCCTGGCTTTCCAGGCTAGGATAACTCACCTCTTCTTTCCTAACTCTGTTCTGTTTGCCACAGATGCCTGGTCCTGCTCAGTGCCCCAGAATTGCTGTGTGAAGTAGTTAAAGGTTGGGAGAAATCATCTTAGTGCTCCCAGATTCTTTCATCCCCAAACAGCCCTCAGTCACTGCACTTTTTAATGTCATCTTATCACAAGACATTTCTCTGGAAATACTGCTGTGAACTATGGCGCTAAGGACATTTCATTTGTAGCATGTTGGTGATCACAGGTGCCTGGAGATTTTCTATTAGGTTTAAGGGGAGGCATCAGACATCACTTCTGATGTTTGTCAGCCTTGACATGTGTGTCCTGAGAGTTCTCTGAAGAGTCTGATGTCATCACCCTTATGCACTGTTACCACCTGCTGCTTCTGATTTCCCCAGATCAAGCTCCCTTTCTGGGACTACTAGGTCCTTATTCCTTGGGGTGTATGCTTGTGGTACGATTGACTGGTGTTAGTGCTTCTACCGAGCCATCCTGCTGTCCCTTGCCCTGATTCAGGACCGCTCTTGCTAGAAGGTGGAGGGGGACAGCGGTGAGGGGAATGTCTTAGGTCACTTACACTTATGCCCAGAACAAAGTAGAAGAGGCAGACGTGGGAGAAGAGGCTAGTGTCCAGGGTGGAAGAAAAAGAGAATAATTTCTAATGAACGTCAAGTTTTTTGGTGTGGATGAAGACAGAGGCCATTTTATTTTGGTGATAGGACCGACTAGGGCTCTGTGTCAAGGTCTGAGTCTTCTCCACAAGCAGGAAATTGGGAGACCAGATGGCATGGGGACCCTTCTCTAGCCCTTAATGTAAGACAATCCTTTGGGTTTGTTTCTGTTTTTGTCTACCCTCCTGTAGGTGTTGACTCCATACCACTCCATGGACCTGTGTCTCCAACTGTTTCCTTCCAGCCTCTTCCACGTACCACCGTGCGGACAAGCCGCTTGCCTGGGGTCACGGTATCAGTTCCGTCTCCTGAGACCTCCTTGTCTTCCTCTTCCACTGGATTGGCTTTGGCAAAGGGAGCTGGAGACCAGGCCAAAACTGCCACAAATTCTGTGACCACCAGCTCAGTGCCTTCTACCAAAGTGGTACCAGTGACTACTGTGTCTTCCAAAGTGTCCTCCAAGTTGCCCATCAGTACAAAGTCCACTGCTGCAATGCCTTCTGCTGTGCTCACCAATATAGCACCGTCAAAGTTACCCATCAACTCAGTATATGCTGGCACAGTGCCATCCAAAGTGCCTGTTAGTGTGGCCAAAGCACCTGCCAACGTACTGCCACCCAATAGGATCAACAACCAAGCCAAGGTGAGCCTTTATTCCTCCTAATAGTCACTCAGTCCACTTTGCCAAGACAGCTGGTCCTCTGCCCTGCCCTCTGACCCTTTTAGTCTCTGTGCTGTCTCTGGTCTGGTTTTTCAAGTTGTTGGGACAGATGGGAATCAGCCTCATCCAGCCCTTACCCCCTGTTTTCCAGGAGGAATGATAGACCTTCAGCAGAGTGGGGCATGGGACCATCCCCACTGACGTGTTTATTAACTCATTTGGAGCTCAAAGCCCCCAGTTAAGCTCAGCAGTACCATTTTGTAGATGAAGTAGTGAGGGATGGACATGGTGGCTCATGTGCCTTGTTCATTGGACAGTGGTCTCAAGCATACAGCTTGGAGCAGCTACTCCAGTCAGTGACCCCTACAGTCCCTTTCCCCAAGGCCTTACAGCTGTTCACCTAAAGGAACCAAGTTCACAAGCCTTGAGAACTTGTGGCTGCCTTGTGACTCTTAGGCCCAGGTAGTGCAATATGGGTCACACCCCAGCATGGGCTCCCTAGCAGTGATGCTCACAGTATGAGAGGGCTCAGTGAGTATGAGAGGGCTGCCCTGGAAGGATTACTACAGGGTCTTGGTTACTTCCTTCCTGGCTGTGTATGTATCACTGATGTGTTGAACCCCCAAGAGAGGGTGGTCTCAGCTATTGTGGGATGCTAGTTCATGCCCTGGCCACACAACCAAGCTTGTCTCCCTGTCACAGGAATCCCTTCCAACATTCTCCTTGTGTTTCCAGGAGACCCTAGAGACTCCAGCAACCACAGTCACCACTAGAAGCAGCTTGCCCAGACCAGATAGCAGTTCGAGGAGCTTGCACTCTGGGCCAGAGATGGGCAAACCAGGTGTGCTGTTGTCCCAGGTGGATGAGCCATTCTCAGGATGCTCTATGGACCTTGCCATCAGCCCTAGCAGCTCCTTGGGCTCTGAACCCAATCGTGGTCCAGAGGAGAGTGAGTATTCATCCTTTAGGATCCAGGTGGATGAGGACCCCAGTGCTGACCTCCTGGCAGGAAATCCTGGGCCACTAGCCACCCAGGAGCTCCCAGAAGACGAAGAGCTTTGTGCCAGTCAAATATCCTGGGTCAAGTGGCTCGGGGCAACCGGTGCACTCTTGGCTGCGTTCCTGGGAGTGATGCTGTACCGTAGTAGGCACCTGGCCCAATGAAGCCTCAGCTGCGTGCCGTTCGCTGGCCCAGTTCCGCCAAGCACAGTCTCTAGGCTCGGGCTGGTGGAGGCTAAGTCAGGGGAACTTAGAGATGGTGAGGTTCATCAAGCTATCTGTGTGGAAGCTGCACCAAGGCTCCATCCACTGTGGAGTAGGGGAGAGACATTCTTTCTATCCTAGTTCATGCCATCTTCTGGTCTTTAGCTTTTTGGGGTACTAGAATACCTCCACTGCTTCTGGCCTTCCCACATGGCCGTATAGGATTTCGTGTGATGTGCTCCTAAGGAGCTGTCCCCATCAGCCTCATCCGTGTTGGCCCAAGCCTGAAGATCAGGAGGCATCACACTTCTGTGGACAGCGCTCCTCATCCTGCCCAGGCCTCTTGAAACACAAGCACAGGTGTATTTGTGAGAGCTCCCGTAACATCTTGTGCCTTCCACCAGCAGCCTGGCCTAAGGCCTTGGTACTAGAGCCTGGGAGCAGCAGAGTGGCTGGTTCCTAGGGAGCTTTGAATCCTGTCTCTCTGGTCCCCCTCCACAGCTAGGCAACCCTGAGGGAAGGTCTGGCGGTTCCCTGTGGACCCTGAGAAAGCCAGAAGCAGCTGCCAGGCCTGAGGAAGACGCTGGGAGCCCTGCTCCAGCCTCCTAACCCCACCTCTTCACCTCCTCCCTCCTGGTCTCCATTCTCTTTGGTTTCCTACCCAGGATGATGGAACACCTAGTGGGCGGAGCTCAGGCTGGGCTTGAATTTCAGTTCCCCGCTTCCTTTGACCTTAGCAGATGTTTACCTTCTGTAGTCTTTTCCCAGTGTGGACAGTGAGGCCTTTCACTGGGCTTTTCTGAGACTGAAGGACATAGATATTTACATAGTACCTAGCCCAGAGGGTGTGACTACCAAGTAATTACCCTCCTGCCCAGCCTGGTTGAACTAAGGTGAGCTTGAGAGGCAGAGTACATGGTGGTAATGGTACACTCTTTGCCTCTGAGAGAATAGCTTTGGCCTACATAGTGCTTCTGTCTCTCTCTGGCCCTGTGATCTCTGACAAAGTGTACACCTCTGGGCCTCACTTTTCTCTCCTGTGAGATGGGGCAAATATGCATACATATGTGCTACTGCATTCTAATTTTATCAAGATAATTAAATTAAAAGAATTTATCTGTGAAAATCTGTGAGTTCTTCATTTCTTAGGGGTTGGATACATGTTATCACCTTTAAATGGAAAGGTGCTGGGTGTCTTGGCTGCATAGTTAGAGATAGGTGCTAGCATATTTTCTTCTTCCATGGGCAGGAAGTTTAGTCACATCTATATCAGACATACAATGAGGTCCATTTAGGCCAATTTTGGTAGTGCATACCTTTGGTCCCAGCACTCAGGAAACAGAGGAAGGTGAATCTCTGTGAGTTCAAGGCCAGCCTGATCTACATAGCAAGTTCCAGGACAGCCAGAGCTGCACAGTGAGACCCTGTCTCCAGAAAAAGAAAAGAAATACAATGAGACGTATTGAGGGTATTCTCATGAGTTTTTAAAGGTGCCCTTTGCCGGACAAGGGATAGGCATGGAGCCAACTCCATCTCTGACCTCTCTTGTGAACATAAACCTTAGAGGCATCAGAGATGGTGGTTGCTATCACAATCTTCCCTGCATGCCCTAGGGAAAAATGACCTAATGACCTGTACTTTCTGAATTTCAAGGAAAACTTCAACCCATGCTATGAATTCTAGATGTAATTTGTCCCCAAGTTGAATTGTGTGTACTACTTTTGTATCACCTTTGTTTCTTTATCTATCTATCTATCTATCTATCTATCTATCTATCTATCTATCTACCTATCTATCTGGTTTTTGGAGACAGGATTTCTCTTGTAGCCCTGGCTGTCCTGGAACTTACTCTGTAGATCAGACGGGCTTTGAACTCAGAGATCCTCCTGCCTCTGCCTCCCAAGTGCTGAGATTAAAGGCATGGGCCACCACTTCCAGGATCACCTTTGTTTCTAACCAATCCCTGGACTCCCTTTCCTCTCCCAGGTGACATGCTGGCTATGCTAGAGAATAGTTTCCAGGGTTACTAGTTTTAGTGTGTTGCCATTCCAGGGTATAAAAGAGACATCTCAGCGATACAATATGTAGCCCTACAGAGTGTCACCTAGATGGTGGGATTTCAAGCACAGTAATAGGTCACTAGGCATCTCTTAGGTCAAGTATTTGTAGGAAGTGTCAAAGGTCTTCCCTACACTTTGCACATTTTGATGACTAGGCTTGCATTTAATGACATCTTCATCTCGCTGATATCAACTTGGAGGCATCTCAGATGCCAGCTTCAGGAAGAGGAAGGCTTTGGCCAGTGTCAGGTCCCAGGAGTCCTATGCTTGTGTGTGTTGCTTTCAGCTGCAGTAGGATTCACAGCTGTGTAGAAGGGAGAATTGGGGAAGGCTTTCCTTTCAGCCATGATCTTAACAAGATGAACTAAGCATCTGTACCACAGGTGTCTGGTACGCATACTACGAACTCGAGGAAACACAAGTTCCTTTAGGATGATCATTGTTGTCTGGAGGAACCAGTGCTTCCTAAGCCCCTACGCACAGTTTCACCTGCAGAAGAGACCTGCCCATCTTCTTTCTCTGGTGAAGAATTCCCCAAAGCCCAAGCACTCTATTGCTCTAACCCCAGCAAGTTCCAGTGGGCCCTGTTGTGATGAATTCAGTACAATGTCACCCCTTCACTTCCTTCCCCTCGCTAGATGCCCTCATTTTGGCACCCATGGGCATGCTCCATTACATCAGGGACCTGTGTCCTATGCCACCTCAGGCCCAGCAATCTTTTCTAGCAGGCAGAATTGAAATTCTGTAACATGACTCCTCACACCTCCCAGGAATAGAATCACACAGGTCCTAACTAAGGTCCGTATTTTCCACAGATGCACTGTCATAGAGCTGAGGCCTGAGACAACCCCATCCAAGGGAGACTGATGGAGCGTTCTTGGTTTAATGTGTCTGTGTCAGAATTTGTGTCTTCCCATAAAGGACAGTCATATGCTGCACTGTGCTCAGCTTCCCACTTGTATCGCTTTAGCCCACAGCTACAGTGGCTATAGGGCCTACTAGATGTCACTAAAGAATTAGCCACTATTCCTGCTACTAGCAGCAGCAGCAAATGGTAAGTGCCCCCATTTACCCTACACCCTGCCTGTTCTGGGCTCTATGCCTAATACTTACTATATGTTAGTTCATTTAATCCTCATGTTGACCTTGTGAAAGAGACTCTATTATGGACTAAATTTATAGCTGGCTTGTAAGATAGCAGGAGGAAAGATCAGAGGAGACAATGATCCCTGAACCCCAGATACATGTCAGTGAACTCCAGCTGATTCGGTGTCTATCTGGAGCCAGGACCACATTCCAAGTGAGATTTTCACGCCAAAACATTCCTGCCCAATATGCCAAGATCTGTCATCTGCTCTAATAGTAAAATGACAGTCTATTAGTAATGTAGTCTCAGGGATGACATAACCATGTGACTATAATCTCTGTGTATGTACCCAAACTCAGAGCCCTCAGGCTGCGTGTGATGGGGTAAGGGATATAAACCTATAATTCCAGTTCTTAGGAAATCCATTGATTTGGCAGGCACTGGTTATGTGTTGAAAGGAGCTATTAACCTTGTGCCACGTTCAAGGGTTATGGTTAGGAAGACACAATGGATGCATTCAGCTACGAATCACAATGTGTGATATTGGACAGTAAGCTTTCATATTACTGGCTTTTTGTTTGGTGTTTTTGTTTTCTGTGTGTTTGTTTGTTTGGTTTTTTGTCTTTTTGAGACAGGGTTTCTCTATGTAATGGCTCTGGCCCTGCCTCTACCTCCCAGGTGCTAGGATTAAAATTAAAGGCACACCACCACCACCAAGCTGTTTTTTGTTTTTGTTTTTGTTTTGTTTTGTTTTTTGGCATTTTTGGTATTTTAAGACAGGGTCTCTTGGTGGTATACCATGCTCAAAATCATGGCACTCAGGAGGCTGAGGCATGAGAATAGCTGCAAGTTTAAGGCCAAGGCCCCATCTCAAAAATAATAAATCTGCAACAGCTGTGATGATAAATCTTCATTGTCAGCTTGGTTGGATTTAGAGTCAGCATGGGAGACAGTCTTCTGGGTGTGACTGGGAAGATGTTCCCAAGAGGTTTGCCACCATGACTTACTTCCCTGCCACGATGGGTTGTTCTCTCACTCAGACTGTGAGTCGGAATAAACCGTCCTTTCTGAGTTGCTTTTGTGTGAGACATTTGTCATAATACAATATACTAATATGGGATTACTAATTAGTAATACAAATAGCTAAATATGGGAGAGCTTACAAGAGAATAAGATCAAATGTTGGTAAAAACATAAAACAACTGGCACTTATAAAGTGAGAAGAATGTAAGTTGCTATAATGGTCTGAATGAATGTTCCTCTCCCAAAATTCACAGATTGAAACCCAGTACCAAAGTCATGGTATTAGGATGTGGACCTTTGGGATGTGACTAGATCATGGTGGCGCTAAACTTAAGAATGGATTTCATCCACTCCTAAAGAGGCTTGAAGGCCAGTGACATGGCTCAGTAGGTAAAGGGCACTTGCCACCAAGCCCAGTGACCTGACTTTGATCCCAGGACTCACATGATAGAGGGACAAAGCCATTTCCTCTTATCTTCACACATGTACATGGCACACTTGCACTGTGGCACACACACACACACACACACACACACACACACACAAGCACACTGTAATTAAAAAAAAAAAGGCATTGAGCTCTTCTGCCCTGATACCACATAAGGTCACAGGGGGAGGATATGGAATCTTGGATGCATAGAACAAGCTGAATTTGCTGGTGCCTGAATCTTGACTCCAATAATGCCAGAAATAAATTTCTGTTGTCTCTACCCTGTCTAGTTTAAGGTGCTTGTTGATAACAGTGCAAGTGGACTAAGACAGTTGATATGACCCTGTTGGAAAACTGGGCCTAACCTATGGCCCAGAAATTCCATTCCTTGGTATGCTTATCACAGAAGTAAAGACTTGATTTCTCCAAGAAGTGTAGAATGTTTCTAACCACCACATTATCCACAATAGCCCCAAACTGGATACAACCCCGAATGGCTAGCCACAGTAAAATGGAGTAATTGTTTGGATGACTGGCCCCCACAAAAAAGCTCATGGATCAAATTCTTGTTCTACAACTGGTGGGGACCTAGATGGAGGAAGAAGTCATTAGGGGCCTGCCCCTGGTTCCTGTATTGTTCCAGTCCCTCTACCCAAACCATCTTTCTGTCCACCATGAGGTTAAATGTCCTTCTCCATGCATTCCCACCACGATGACAGCGAGACAGTCTGCCTGTCCTAGGTAGGGCTACTATTGCTATGGTGAAACAGCATGACCAAAAGCAAGTTAAGGGGAAAGGGTTTCTTTGGCTTACACTTGCATCTCACTATCCATCACTGAAGGAAGTCACAGGAACTCAAACAGGGCAGGAACCTGGAGGCAGGAGCTGATGCAGAGACCAGGGAGTGCTGCTTACTGGCTTGCTCCTCATGGCTTGCTCTGCTTTGAGAGCTTAGAGACTTTTTGTTTGGTTTGGTTTATTTTTTCTTTTTCTTTTTTTCTTTTTTTGGTTTTGTTGTTGTTGTTGTTTTCCAGGCAGGGTTTCTCCCTCTGCAGACCAGGATGGCCTCAAACTCAGAGATCTGCCTGCCTCTGCCTCCTGAGTGCTGGGATTAAAGTCATGTGCCACGATGCCTGATGAGCCTGCTTTCATATAGAACCCAAGCCCAGGGGCGGCACCACCCACAATGGGCTGGGCCTTCTTCATCAATCCCTAATTAAGAAAATGCCCCAAGGCTTATGTGCAGCCTGATCTTATGGAGGGATTTTCTCAATTTAGGCTTCCTCCTCTCCGATAACTCCAGCTTGTGTAATGCTGACATGAAACTAACCCAGCACACTGCCTCAACACAGTCTGGAAATCAGTGGAGCCCAGGATTGTGGCCTGACATCTCTGAAACTTAGTTGAAGTAAGTAATTTCTCTCTATAAGTTGTTTAGACAAGTATTTTGTCATTGTTGTGAGAACATTAACAGTGACATTAATATTTAGCAATTAATATAAAAGAATTCGCCATTTTGCCATACGTATGTGCCTATAGCACATGTACATGCATCTTCCAGGTGTGATGGCTAGCAGGAATCAGTACACACAAAAGAGTAGGGTCTATCAGTTACCAAGTACAGAAACAAATGAAGTTGACCTCTAGGGGTAGGAGTCAGAATGGAGAGCCTAGGAAGGACAGAGCTGAGAAGGGGCATTCTGGGCACTGGTCTATTTCCTCATTGGTGTGCTGACTTTATAAGTGTGTCTTGTTTGTGTTCAGTTCCTGATGGGGAAGTAAAGACCAATTGAGAACAGAGAAGCCATTTAATCAGAGCCCAAGAGGTAGCCACTGTACTGGCTAGTTTTAAGTCAACTTGACCCAAACTGGAGTCATTTGGGAAGATGGAAGCTCAATGGAGAAAATGCCCCCACCAGATTAGCCTGTGCTGCATTTTGTTAATTAGTGATTGATGTAGGAGGGCCCAGCTCATGGCGAGTGGTGGAGGAAGATGTGGGGAGGCAGCCAGTAAGCAGCACTCTTCCGTCAGTTTGCCTCAGTTGGTGCCTCCGGGTTCCTTCCCTGCTTGAATTCCTGCCTTGACTTCTCTGGATGGTGGAGTATGGGCTCTAAAGTGAAACACACCCTTTCCTTCCCATGTTGCTTTTTGTTCATAGTGATAGAAACCCTAAGACAGTCTCTATATTTGGTGGAGACTCAAAAGCAGGCACTAGCTGGGAAATGTTAGGGGGAGGGAGATTAAGGTCCTGTCCTGGGAGGTCGTGGTATGGGGAATACAGAAGTGACAGCTCATGACTGGCTTTTTTGCTTGGTCCTGATCATAAGATGTGGAGAAGTGGTTGTTTGGAGGTTGGGAGCTGAAATCTCTAGCTCTGCATTGATCTCTGCAGAGGTTGAGTTTAACTCCCTTGGCTTCCCAGAATGCTCACTGCCAGGATTTTGTATCAGACTTCTACTGTCTGCTAGGAACAGTCACTTTCCATTTGCAGAGGGGCATGAGCATTGAGAAGGGCTGCTACACTGGACTTGATGGAACATTCCGTTTCCTCAAGCTCTTCACCCCTCCCTGAGGTCAGAGGTGCCTGCCTGTGCAGATGAGTCTATGACCAGCGGACTTTCCTAGCTACTTGGAGTCCACACTCACATCCTAAATGTTTCAAACAATAGAGGCAAATATCAATTACTCTACACCCATTGTTTCCTAAACTATCATATGAGGCGTCTGTGAATGAGGCAACCTGTACCTGAGCCTACCACCCGGCTGATATGGAACCTGAGTGCTAGTTCAGTTGTCATGCCCTTTACCGTAGCTTACAGCTCTTCCTCTTTAGGAAAGCTAATTTTAGGATTCTTGCTCAGACTATCCAAGCAGTGTCTTTGGAACTTTGCTAGACGATCCTATAAAAGATTCAATAGGATTCTATTTTCTATTTTTCTTTTAAATTGTCTTACCTGATTTCTTTTACAAAGCTTCCAGGTGCTTGTTCCTTATGCAGGAGTCTGATGTAAACAAATGACTAATTACAGTTACATCATCCTTCTACAGAACTCTGGTACATGGTCCAGCTAGTTGCACAATTGCAATCTTACGTTAACTCTCTATTATTAACATTATATGCTGTTAATCTTGTAAAATTTCTTCCCTCAATAACTGTCTGTTAATGTTCTCATTACCCACCGACTTATGTTTTGTATCTTTGTATCTGTTATGTTTTATTGTGGCCCTTTGGATGGACTCTTCTCTGAGGCACTTTGACTGCTGCTTGAACCAGGACGAGAGAGATCAGGGCCCCTAAAACCCTGAAAACAGTTTGGGTGACCTCTGAAGGGGGAGTCATGGGCCATAGGCCACTTACCTCATCATCATTTCTCCACTCTGGGCATTGTTTTTGAGACTCAGAACTAAAACATCTGTGTTGAAGCCTTCTTTGTGTCAATTAACCTTTCTGTTTCCCCAGCAATCAAACAAACAAAAATAACAACAACAACAACAACAAAACCAAAACAAACAAACAAAAAAAACCAAACCAAACCAAACAAAAAACCTTGGAGAAATCTCAGATCAACTAAACATCCTTCAGGACCAACTGGATTCTTTGGCTGTTTGCAGTACTCCATGACATGAAGTGACTTCTGCTGAGGATGGGCTCTGTGCCCTCCTCCAAGAATGATGGTGTTTCTGTACCAATAAATAAGTCCTAACTGGCTTGACATGGGGGGAGGGTCTTTGGTAGTTTGAATGCAATTGGCTCCCATAAGCTCATAGGGGGTGGCTCTATTTGGAGGTGTGGCTTTGTTGAAGGAAGTGTGTCCATGTGGGGATGGGCTTTGAGGTCTCATATATGCTCAAGCCATACCCAGTCTCAGTTTACTTCCTGTTGCCTGTAAATCAAGATGTAGAATTCTCAACTCCTTTTCTAGCACCATGTCTGCCTACAGGCTGCCATGTCCCACAATGATGGTAATAGACTAAACCTCTGAAATTGTAAGCCACAACAATTAAATGTTTTCCTCTATAAGAGTTGCTGTGGTCATGGTGTCTCTTCACAGAAGTAGAAACGCTAACTAAAACAGGATCTAAAGACAGAGGTGTGCAGAGCCAGACCAATCCAAGACTTTCTTAGATGAAAGGACAAAGGGGACTTTTAGTTTTGTGTCTGTGTCCATGAATGGTCTGGTCTGATGCTGGAGCCTGTGCCTTGGAAGAGTTGAGACTGCCATTCTTGGGGACCCAACTCATTCCCCTGGGCTGTATTATCAGTCCTAAGGCAGTTATGTCTGAAGTATCCTGTGTTTTCTTTGCCAACATTGTCTCTGCTAACCCTGCCCCCCATAAGAGGCTCTTCTTCTTCTTCTTCTTCTTCTTCTTCTTCTTCTTCTTCTTCTTCTTCTTCTTCTTCTTCTTCTTCCTCCTCCTCCTCCTCCTCCCCCCATCTCGAGTTTCTGCATATCCCTAGCTATAGACCAGGATGGCCTAAACTTACAGAGATCTGCCTGCCTTTGCCTCCCAAGTGTTGGGATCAAAAAATGTGCATCACCACACCCAGCGGTGTACATCTTAATAAACTTGCTTGGTATAAGAAAAGGTTTGTGAACAAGGCATGGTGGTGACTGTCTTGTACTCAGGAGGCACAGGCAGGCAGATCTCTGAGTTGGAGGACAGCCTGGACTATAGAGAGAGTTCTAGGACCACCAGGGTTACAATAGAGAAACCCTGTACCACATACCCTTCCCTGCTGTGGAACAACCTTTTTGTACACTGTGAAGATGTGTCCCTTTGATTGGTTTAATAAAAAGCTGAGCCTGGCAGTGGTGCACACCTTTAGTCCCAGCACTCAGGAGGCAGAGGCAGGCGGATCTCAGTGAGTTTGAGGTCAGCATGGTCTACAGAGTGAGTTTGGGGACTGTCAAGGCTATACACAGAGAAACTCTATCTTAGAACAAAGTGCTAAATGACCAGTAGCTAGGCAGGATTTCCAGGCACAGAAGGTGCTGGGAAGAAAAAGGGCCAAGTTGCCAGCCAGACACGGAGGAAGCGGTAAAGCAGGATGGACAGGATGTAGATGAGGTAAACGAACCTCAGGGAAGCACACAGATTAATAGAAATGGGTTAATTTAAGTTATAAGAGCTAGCTAAAAACAAGCTTAAACTATCAACTGAGCTTTCATAATTAATAATAAGTATCCATGTTTTGCTTTGGAAGCTGGCTGGCAGGACAGAGAAAGACTCACCATTACTTCCCCCCCCAAAAGAAAAGGTTTGTGCAAGACCTGCCGACCTCAATTTTTATTTTCTCTACCTTTTTCATCCTTTGGCACCTCCTCATCAGGACCCTGGCACTGAAGAATGGCTTGCTGGTCCAGATCACACTGGGACCAGACAAAAATTCAGCCACAAGTCTCTTCCTATGCACAGGCTTCGGTATCCTTCTACTCTGACGCCTCCCCCTTGATCCCTTTCCTCTATATTATTCCTGTACTTACATTTCACCCCATCTTTTAAATGTTTTACTTACTGGACCCCCCCATACCCACATAAGCTCTCCCGATGACTCTCATCCTGCAACAGCTCCATTTGCTCTGGTTGTTACTGATACATCTGCAAAAGGAACTTTCAGATGCTGTGCAGAACTCTGGCTACGAGGGACCTTCATCCCTTTCTTTTATCTCAGGCCACATACAATTCTTTACATTGGTCCGCTATTTTCTTCTGTTCCCTTCCTTCAGTGCTCGGTAGCTCCCGGATGCTTCTGCTGACTCATTTTGGTGCAACACTCTTGGCAATGGTTCTAGTCACTGTCACCCTCAACTAACCCTATCCCCCACTTCCTTTCATGGGCTCAATCTACCTCTCTCCTCCTTCTACTCCTCCCTCCAACTCTCGGACTAGCTCTCAGTTTTACTCTAACAATCATCTGCTTAAGTGACAAAGGACCTCCTCTACAACAACCTGGAAATAAGCCCCCTTAGACCACAGCCCTCCTCAGCAGGAAACAGTTAAAAGAATCTGCTCTCTTTGCAATGGTGAAGTGTTTCCTTTAAAATCTTTCTGGACCTTGCTTGATGATCTGCTGAGACAGCCCGTCGTGCCTCGAGCAGACAACTCCAGAAGGCTAAGTGCTGCAGTTCTTTCCCTCACCCCTATAAAGAGCCAAGCCATTCTTTTCCTCTGACAGACTGCTCATTTTCCCTCAGTAGAGTCTGCTCCCTGGCCATGTATCTTGCCTGTCTGTTGAAGATCAGACACCTCTATTTTTCTGCCCTCCATCTCTTGAAGCTGCCTCAGAAATCTAATATCCCTCCCCAACCTTTCTCCTTTTCTGCGGGTCTCCCTCTGTAGCCAAGGCTGGCCTGGGAACTCATTATGTATCACAGGCTAGCCTTGAACCTGCAGCAATTTTTCTGCCTTGATCTACTCAGTATTGGATTACAGGCATGAGCTATAACAATGGCTAGCTTGAGGTTTTTGTTTTTTGTAGTGAATAACAACTTCCACCACCAAACAAACAAAAACCAGAACACAGCAAAACAGAAACCCTGAGCTGGCTGTTGATGTAACTTAGTGTTATATGACAGTTTTCCCAGAACTAAACCATTTCCTCCTGGAAGAAGGAAGTTTTATGATATTCTGGAAGTAAACAAACTTGTCCAGGAAAGCTGAAATTTACAAGGTTCTATGAGGCTCAGCCCCAAAGCTGATGGAATCAGTAAACAGCTGTCAGGGCTGCTCAGGCCATCTGAGTAGCCAAGAGAAGACTCTCAAATCTCCTGAGCTTCTGTTCGGGGTACAGCTTTTGAGCGCCATCATCAGTGGGCTTTTTAATGATACTGCTGCATTTTAGCCATCTCTGATCTGTAAGTAATTATATCCATATTCCTGTGAGTTCAATAAAAACTCATTGGTCCACCAAGTTGAACTTCGATCTCTCATGGGTTTCCCTATCTGGGGAGAGTAGATATGTGCTGTATTTCCCCAGGAGAAGTTTCACACAATTGGTAGAATGCTTATCTAGCCCTCTATTTGATCCCCAATATAAAAAAGGTTTTTCCCCCCTCTATAAAAATAGTTAGTGTAAGAAAAGTGAGCCAGAGAAGCAGACAGACTTGATTTCAAGAGGCTGAGAGTGCTTTGCTGTAACAGTAGGAGGTCCCAACCTTTCCATGGGTTGAAGGTTGTGTTGTGCCCTGAGTCCAGACGCCCAAAGACCACCAAAAGACCAGATCCAATACAAAAGCAGAGTCTTTTTTATTATTCCAGCATGCTGGGGCTCACTACCTACCTACACAAAAGCAAAATGGCGATGACCCTGAGAGGGAGGTGGGGGTTTCTTTTAAGCCTTACTGAGGAGAGTATCTAAGGAAGTTAGGTAATTTTAAATATGATTGGCTTAAGCAAGTGGGAATATTAATGTTTTAATTGGCTGGGGCTAGTCTGGGGCTGGTCAGGGCTACAATTTTCTATTTTGGGGCAGACCTGGATAAGTCCCAGGCCATGTCTTTGGGCTGCTGTGGAGGCTGGCTCAGGCCTGGCCTGGCCTAGTACTGCATGTACCAGGCCTCCTACTTGCTGTTGGGGGTGTTGGAGATTGACAGTCCTTTATCCGTGGCTTTTTATCAGAAACTGCTTGTTCAGTCTCAGGAAACTGAAATTGAAGCTTGATCTCTGAGAGAAGACTGAGCAACCTGTTATGGCGCCTGCTCAGTCCTTTCAGGTGGAGCACATTTTGTGGTTTGACTGGGAGCAGGGTGGGTTGTTTTGATACCTGGGCATATTGTTTCTGTAAGTGGAACAGGTAGAGTATGCTGGGGCTACGCCATTCTTTGCCACTCAGAGCTGTTGTCCAGTATAGCCTGACTTAATTCCTCCTGACCCCAGATTATTACCCAACAGACCAACAAGGGCTCGTTTTTTCCTGAGCCTCCTTCGCCCCCTTTATGCCCATTAGCCAATTAAGTGAGATTGTAGAGTTGAGCTCCTACCAATGGGAAAAACGTTTTAATTGGCTTACAATTTCAATGGGTCAGAGTCCAGGATGGAGAGAAGGCATTTGTAGCATGAACTGTTGAGAGCTCACATCTCAAACACTGCAAGCAGGAAGCAAAGAGCACACTGGAAATGGTAGAAGTCTTTTGAAACCTTAAAGCTCATCCCTAGTGATATGCCTCCTCCAAGGTCACACCTCCTAATACTTCCCAAACATCTCTACCAACTGGGGACCAAGTATTAGAACATATGAGCCTATGGGGCTAATTCTTGTTCAAACCCATATATCCTTCAACTCATACATCATGAATTGCATGATGTTCCTCTTCCATGACTTACCGTTATAATGAAGGTTTTAGAATTGTTAGTTCATGGCCACTCCTGTGCAGGAATTCTGCCATTATTACTTCTAAAACTTGTTTGCTTATACTTACGAATGCCCACCCTGGCCAAATGCTGCTTGCCAGGGCTTTCAACCTGGGGGGCAGGAACTGAGACCTCTTCTCCTTTGCACTCTTATGCTCTTTATGGGGTAGGAATATTCTACTCAAAGACAAGCTCCTGGATCCTAGAGGGTGTGGTAGGGTGGGCTGTCATCTGCATCCTAGGATAGCTTAGTAATTCCCTTCATTGCCAGATTTTTTTTTTCGAGACAGGGTTTCCCTGTGAGGCTTTGGAGCCTGTACTAGAACTAGCTCTTGTAGACCAGGCTGGTCTCCAACTCACAGAGGTCCTCCTGCCTCTGCCAGGTCCTGAGTGCTGGAATTAAAGAAGTGCACCACACTACTTTGTGTTATTTTTGTCCTAACTAGAGTTTCTATTGCTGTGATAAAAGACCATATTCAAAAATAAGTCTGGGAGGAAAGAGTTCATTTTTTTCTTACAACTCTCGGGTCCCACTCCATCACAGAGGGAAGTCAGGATAGGAACTCAAGACAGGAACCTAGAGTCAGGAAGTCAGAAGCCATGAAGGAGTGCTGCTTACTGGCTTTCTCCTTACGTCTTTCTCAGTCAGTATTCTTCCTTTTTTAACTT